TCACCGTTGTCACCGTTGTCACCGTTGTCACTGTTGTTACCGTTGTCACCGTTGTAACTGTTGTCACCGTTTTCACCGTTGTCACGGTTGTCTCTTTTTTCATCGTTATCACAGTTGTCACTGTTGTCACCCTTGTCACCGTTGTTACGGTTGTCACCGTTGTCAGCGTTGTTACAGTTGTCACTGTTGTCACCTTTGTCACCGTTGTGATCCTTATCACCGTTGTCACCGTTGTCACCGTTGTCACTGTTGTCACCATTGTCACCGTGAGCACTGTTGTCACTTTTGGCACTGTTGTCACTGTTGTCACTGTTGTCACCGCTGTCACCGTTGTCACTGTTGTCCTTGTCGTTCTTGTTGTCACCGTTCTCACCGTTCTCACCGTTGTCACCGATTTCACCGTTGTCACTGTTGTCAATGTTGTTACCGTTGTCACCGTTTTCACTGTTGTCACCATAGTTACTGTTGTCACGGTTATCATTGTTGTCACCGCTGTCACCGTTTTCACCCTTTTCACCATTGTCACCGTTGTCACGGTTGCCACTTTTGTCACTGTTGTCAGTTTAGTCACTGTTGTCACTGGTGTCACCGTTGTCACCATTGTCACTGTTTTCACGGTTGTCACTGTTTTCACCGTTGTCACTGTTTTCACGGTTGTCACTATTGTGACCTTTGTCACTGTTGTCACCATTTTCACCGTTGTCACTGTTCTCACTGTTGTTACCGTTGTCACTGTTTTCACCGTTGTCACCGTTGTCGCTGTTGTCACCGTTCTCACCGTTGTCACTGTTGTCACCGATTTCACCTTTGTCACTGTTGTCACGGTTGTCGCCGTTTTCATCGTTGTCAGTGTTGTTACCGTTCTCACTGTTGTCACCGTTGTCACCGTCGTCATCGTTGTCATGGTTGTCGCCGTTTTCACTGTTGTCACTGTTGTCACAGTTGTCACTGTTGTCAACGTTGTCACCATTGTCACTGTTGTCACCGTTGTCACCGTTCTCACTTTTGTCCCCGTGTCACCATTGTCATCGTTGTCACTGTTCCCACTGTTGTCACCAATCTCACCGTTGTCACTGTTCTCACTATTGTCACCGTTGTCACTGTTGTCACTGTTGTTACCGTTGTCACCGTTGTCACCATTGTTACCGATTTTTACGGTTTTCACTGTTGTCACGGTTGTCGCCGTTGTCACCATTATCACTCTTTTTACCCTTGTCACCGTTGTCACCGTTGTCATCATTGTCACCGTTGTCACGGTTGTCATCGTTGTCACTGTTGTTACCGTTGTCACCGTTGTTACTGTTGTCACTGTTGTCACCGTTGTCACGGTTGTCACTGTTGTCAATTGTGACTGTTGTTACCGTTGTAACCGTTGTCACCTTTGTCACCGTTTTTCACGGTTGTCACTGTTGTCACTGTTGTTACCGTTGTCACCGTTGTCACCGTTGTCACCATTGTCACTATTGTCACGGTTGTCACTGGTGTCACTTTTTCCACTGTTCTCACCGTTGTCACTGTTGTTACTGTTGTCACTGTTTTTACCGTTGACACCGTTTTTACTGTTGTCACTATTGTCACCGTTTTCACCGTTGTCACTCTTTTCACTTTTGTCACCGTTGTCACTGTTGTCACTATTGTCACCGTTGCTACCGTTGTCACTGTTGTCACCGTTGTTACTGTTGTCATTGTTGTCACCATTGTTACTGTTGTCACGGTTGTCAGCGTTGTCACCGTTGTCACCTTTGTTACCGTTGTCACTATTGTTACCATTGTCACGGTTGTCACTTTTGTCACTGTTGTCACTGTAGTCACCGTTGTCCCTGGTGTCACCGTTGTCACCATTGTCAGTGTTGTCACAGTTGTCCTTGTTGTTACCTTTATCACTGTTGTCACCGTTGTCACTGTTTTCTCGGTTGTTGCCATTGTGACCGTTGTCACCGTTTTTACTGTTGTCACTGTTGTCGCCGATGTCAGCGTTTTCACTGTTGTCACCGTTGTCACTGTTGTCACCATTGTCACTGTTGTCATTGTTGTCATCGTTGTCACTGTTGTCATTGTCTTTACTGTTGTCACTGTTGTTACTGTTGTCACCGTTTTCACCGTTGTCACTGTTGTCACTGTTGTCACCGTTCTCACTGTTGTCACCCTTGTCACTTTTGTTATCGTTGTCACCTGTGTCACCGTTGTCACCGTTTTTACCGTTTTCACCGTTGTCACTGTTGTGACCGTTGTGACCGTTGTCACTTTTGTCACCGTTGTCCTCGTTGTTACGGTTGTCACCGTTGTCACCCTTATCACTGTTGTCACCGTTTGCACCGTTGTCACTGTTGTCACTGTTGTCACTGTTGTCACCGTTGTCACCGTGGTAACCGTTGTCACCGTTGTCACTGTTGTCACCATTGTCACTGTTGTCACCGTTGTCACCATTGTCACTGTTCTCACGGTTTTCACTGTTGTCACCGTTGTCACTGTTGTCACTGTTGTCACTGTTGTCACCCTTGTCACCGTTGTCACCGTTGTTACCGTTGTCACCGTTGTCACTGTTGTCACCGTTGTCACTATTGTCACCGTTGTCACTGTTGTCACCGTTGTCACCGTTGTCACTTTTGTCACCGTTGTCCTCGTTTTTACGGTTGTCACCGTGGTCACCGTTGTCACCGTTGTCATTGTTGTCACCATTTTCACTGTTGTCACCGTTGTCACCATTGTCACTGTTCTCACGGTTGTCACTGTTGTCACCGTTCTCACCGTTGTCACCGTTGTCACTGTTGTCACCCTTGTCACCGTTTTCACCGTTGTTACCGTTGTCACCGTTGTCACTGTTGTCACCGTTGTCACTGTTTTCACCGTTGTCACCGTTGTCACCGTTGTCACTGTTGTCACCGTTATCACTGTTATCACCGTTGTCACCTTTGTCACCGTTGTCACTGTTGTCACCGTTGTCACCGTTGTCACTTTTGTCACCGTTGTCCTCGTTGTTACGGTTGTCACCGTGGTCACCGTTGTCACCGTTGTCATTGTTGTCACCATTTTCACTGTTGTCACCGTTGTCACCATTGTCACTGTTCTCACGGTTGTCACTGTTGTCACCGTTCTCACCGTTGTCACCGTTGTCACTGTTGTCACCCTTGTCACCGTTTTCACCGTTGTTACCGTTGTCACCGTTGTCACTGTTGTCACCGTTGTCACTGTTTTCACCGTTGTCACCGTTGTCACCGTTGTCACTGTTGTCACCGTTATCACTGTTATCACCGTTGTCACCTTTGTCACTGTTGTCACTGTTGTCACCGTTGTCACCGTTGTCACGGTTGTCACCATTGTCACTGTGATCACCATTGTCACGGTTTTCACTTTTGTCATCTTTATAAGTGTTGTCACCGTTGTTACTGTTTTTACCGATGTCACCATTGTTACTGTTATCACCGTTGTTACGGTTGTTACTTTTGTCATCGTTATTAGTGTTGTCACCGTTGTCACTGTTGTTACCATTGTCACTGTTGTCTCTGTCGTCACCGTTGTTACCGTTGTCACTGTTGTCACCATTGTCATCGTTGTCACTGTTGTCACCGTTATCAATGTTGTCACTGTTGTCACTGTTCTCATCGTTATCACGGTTGTCACCGTTGTCACCGTTGTCACTGTTGTCACCGTTGTCACTGTTGTGACCTTTGTCACCCTTGTCACTGTTCTTACCGTTGTCAGCGTTGTCATCGTTGTCACTGTTGTCACCATTGTCACCGTTGTCTCTGTTGTCACCGTTGTCACTGTTGTCACGGTTGTCACCGTTGTCACTGTTGTCATTGTTGTCACCGTTGACACCGTTGTCACGGTTGTCACCGTTGTCACCATTGTCACTGTTGTCACCTTGTCACCGTTGTTACCGTTGTCACTCTTTCCACCGTTGTCACCATTGTGACTGTCTCCACCATTGTCACTGTCGTCACTCTTGTGACTGTTGTCACCGTTGTGACTGTTGTGACTGTTGTCAACATTGTCACTGTTGTCACTCTTGTCATCGTTGTCACTGTTGTAACTGTTGTCACTGTAGTCACCATTGGTACGGTTGTCACCGTTGTTACTTTTGTCACTGTTGTCACCATTGTCACTGTTGTCACCGTTGTCACCGTTGGCACGGTTTTCACCGTTTTCACTCTTGTCACCGTTTTTACCTTTGTCACTGTTTTCACCGTTGTCACCGTTGTCGCTTTTGTCACCGTTGTCACCGTTGTCACTGTTGTCACCGATTTTACCGTTGTCACTGTTGTCACGGTTGTCCCTGTTTTCATCGTTGTCAGTGTTGTTACCGTTCTCACTGTTGTCACCGTTGTCACCGTCGTCATCGTTGTCACCGTTGTCACGGTTGTCGCCGTTTTCACTGTTGTCACTGTTGTCACCGTTCTCCCTTTTGTCACTGTTGTCACCATTGTCACTGTTGTCACCGTTGTCACCGTTCTCACTGGTGTCCCCGTGTCACCATTGTCATCGTTGTCACTGTTCCCACTGTTGTCACCAATGTCACCGTTGTCACTGTTCTCACTATTGTCACTGTTGTCACTGTTGTGACTATTGTTACCGTTGTCACCGTTGTCACCATTGTTACCGATTTTTACGGTTGTCACTGTTGTCACGGTTGTCGCCGTTGTCACCATTATCACTGTTTTTACCGTTGTCACCGTTGTCACCGTTGTCAACGTTGTCATCATTGTCACCGTTGTCACGGTTGTCACCGTTGTCACTGTTGTCACTGTTGTCACCGTTGTCACTGTTGTTACCGTTGTCACCGTTGTCACTGTTGTCACTGTTGTCACCGTTGTCACCGTTGTCACTGTTGTCAATTGTGACTGTTGTTACCGTTGTAACCGTTGTCACCATTGTCACCGTTTTTCACGGTTGTAACTGTTGTCACTGTTGTTACCGTTGTCACCGTTGTCACCGTTGTCACCATTGTCACTGTTGTCACGGTTGTCACTGTTTCCACTATTGTCACCGTTGTCACTGTTTTCACTGTTGTCACTGTTTTTACCGTTGTCACCATTTTTACTGTTGTCACTGTTGTCACCATTGTCACCGTTGTCACCGTTGTCAGTAGGGAGTTTAAGATACTGCGACTACGGACTACGAACTACGGCCGGACGAGCGTTGTTCTTTGTTCGTAGCACTGGATTGAGTCGTGGAAATATAGAACGTTAAGATTGCACTACAGACAGTAGACTACGAGAGAAGAGGCTGAGAGGGAAACAACACGCAAAGATTTTCTTGTTTTCATCACAGTTCACAAAAATGCAAGTCAGTTTTGCATGTGATCTTATCTTTAGAACAATGAACAAATTCTTCCATACTTGAAGGAAGCAATTACGTCGGGTGAAATTGTAAACAAAGTTTTGGTTACACAGGTTTTAGTTTTGCCCATGAATTCTTATGTCAAATATTAAAGAAATGGACAGAAATAGTAATAGCTCATTTATTAGATTTAGAATATGGACTTCTCCGACTACTGATCAGATTTAGTCAGAAGTATTGAAATGCCGAGTTTCGATTGTCTCGAAGATGTTTACATCATTTTCAATCAGCGAAGGCGATACAAAAACTCGCATAAACAAAGGTTACACAAGTAGAAAGACACAATAATCAGTTCGAACAAACATTGAATCTTTTCAAGTGCTAAGAGAAAGTAAATCACCTGCATGATTTCTCTTCTCCTCGGCCGTCAATCGGAATTCTGCGTATAAACAGCTAATCTTGTTAAATGAGGGCTTAGCTAGATAAAAATGAGGTCACAACAGTGCATTAAAAGCGTAAATATGACCAGAAATTAGACACAACTTACATATTTTCCTTCCCTCTCACTTAAAACAGGTGAATTAAAAACATTTTTACGAAAAGACGAGATTCTTGAAGTACTGAGACGGCAAAATACGAGCAAAATGTTCTCCGTAGTCGCGACTACGCGAAACAGCTCAGCCACTCACCGTTGCCGAAGGAAGCCGCAGGACTACGTGGGAAAAACGAACAGTCACGTGGTTTTGATCATGCGCAGTAGCATGTTTATCCGTAGTCGGAGTCCGTAGTCGCCGTATCTTAAAGTCCCTACTGTTGTCACCGTTCTCACTGTTGTGACCGTTGTCACCCTTGTCACTGTTGTTACCGTTGTCAGCGTTGTCACTGTTGTCACTGTTGTCACCGTTGTCACCGTTGTCTCTGTTCTCACCGTTGTCACTGTTGTCACCGTTGTCACCGTTGACACCGTTGTCACGGTTGTCACCGTTGTTACCGTTTTCACGGTTGTCACCGTTGTCACCGTTGTTACCGTTGTCACTGTTTCCACCGTTGTCACCATTGTCACTGTCTCCACCGTTGTCACTGTTGTCATCGTTGTCACCGTTGTCACTGTTGTCATCGTTGTGACTGTTGTCACTGTTGTCAACATTGTCACTGTTGTCACTGTTGTCACCGTTGTCACCGTTGTAACTATTGTCACTGTTGTCACCATTGTTACGGTTGTCACCGTTGTCACTGTTGTCACTGTTGTCACCATTATCACTGTTGTCACCGTTGTCACGGTTGTCACCGTTTTCACTGTTGTCACCGTTTTCACCGTTGTCACTGTTGTCACCGTTGTCACCGTTGTCACTGTTGTCACTGTTGTCACTGTTCTTACCGTTGTCACCGTTGCCACCGTTGTCACTGTTATCACCGTTCTCAGTGTTGTCACTGTTGTCACCGTTGTCACTGTTGTCACCTTTGTCACTGTTGTCACCGTTGTCACTGTTGTCACGGTTGTCACCGTTGTCACCGTTGTCACCGTTGTCACTTTTGTCACTGTTGTCACTGTTGTCACCCTTTTCACCCTTTTCACCGTTGTCACTGTTGTCACTGTTGCCACCGTTGTCACTTTTGTCACTGTTGTCATCGTTGTCACCGTTGTCACTGTCGTCAAGGTTGTTACCGTTGTCACCGTTGTCACCGTTGTCACTGTTGTCACTGTTGTCACCGTTGTCACCCTTGTGACTGTTGTCATCTTTGTCACCGTTGTCACTGTTGTCACCGTTGTCACTGTTGTTACGGTTGTCACCGTTTTCACTGTTGTCGCTGTTGTTGCTGTTGTCGCTGTTGTCACTGTTAGCTCTGTTGTCGCTTTTGTCGCTGTTTTTATTGTTGTCACTGTTGACACTTTTGTCACTGCTGTCAGTGTTGTCGCTGTTGTCACTTGTCACTGTTGTCGCTGTTGTCACTGTTTATTACTGTTGTCATTGTTTTGACTGTTGTCGCTGTTGTCACTTTTGTCGCTGTTGTTGCTGTTGTCGTTGTTTTCACTGTTAGCACTGTTGTCGCTGTTGTGACTGTTGTTGCTTTTGTCACTGTTAGCTCTGTTGCCGCTGTTGTCACTGTTGTCGCTTTTGTCACTGTTGTCACTGTTGTTCCTGTCGTCGGGGTTGTCACTGTTGTCGCTGTTGTCACTTTTGTCAGTGTTGTTACTGTTGGCGCTGTTGACACTGCTGTCGGTGTTGTCGTATTTGTCGCTGTTGTCACTGTTAGCGCTTTTTTCGCTGTTGTTATTGTTGTCACTCTTGTCACTGTTGTCACTCTTGTCAGTGTTGTCACTGTTGTCACTGTTGTTGCTGTTATTGCTTTTTCATTGTTGTTACTGTTGTCGCTTTTGTCACAGTTGTCGCTGTTGACACTGTTGTCACTGTTATCGCTGTTGTTACTGTTGTTGCTGTTGTCGCTGCTCTCACTGTTGTCGCTGTTGTCACTGTTGTCGCTGTTGTCATCGTTGTCGCTGTTATCACTGTTGTCTCTGTTTTTGCCGTTGTCACTGTTCTCGCTGTTGTCCCTATTGTCAGTGCTGTCGCTTTTGTCACTGTTCTCGCTTTTGTCCCTGTTGTCAGTGTTGTCGCTGTTGTCACTGTTTGGGCTGTTGTCACTGTTATCACTCTTGTCACTCTTGTGGCTGTTATCGCTGTTTTGACTGTTGTCGCTGTGGTCGCTTTTCTCACTGTCCTCGCTATTTTCACTGTTGTCGCTGTTGTCAATGTTGTCACTGTTGTCGCTATTGTCACTGTTGTCGCTGTTGTCAATGTTGTCACTGTTGTCGCTATTGTCGCTGTTGTCACTGTTGTTCCTGTCGTCGAGGTTGTCACTGTTGTCGCTGTTGTCGTTTTTTTCGCTGTTGTCACTGTTAGCGCTGTTTTCGCTGTTGTTATTGTTGTCACTCTTGTCACTCTTGTCACTCTTGTCACTGTTGTCACTGTTGTTGCTGTTATGGCTTTTGTCACTGTTGTTACTGTTGTCGCTGTTGTCACAGTTGTCGCTGTTGACACTGTTGTCACTGTTATCGCTGTTGTTACTGTTGTTGCTGTTGTCGCTGCCCTCACTGTTGTCGCTGTTGTGACTGTTGTTGTTTTGGCATCCTTGTCACTGTTGTCGCTGTTGTGATCATTGTGGCTGTTATCACTGTTGTCTCTGTTTTTGCTGTTGTCACTGTTCTCGCTGTCGTCCCTGTTTTCAGTACTGTCGCTTTTGTCACCGTTCTCGCTTTTGTCTCTCTTGTCAGTGTTGTCAGTGTTGTCACTGTTGTCACTGTTTGGGCTGTTGTGACTGTTGTCGCTGTTGTCACTGTTGTCACTTTTGTTGCTGTTGTCGCCCTTGTTACTGTTATCACTCTTGTCACTCTTGTGGCTGTTGTCGCTGTTGTGACTGTTGTTGCTGTGGTCGCTTTTCTCACTGTCCTCGCTATTTTCACTGTTGTCGCTGTTGTCAATGTTGTCGCTGTTGTCGCTATTGTCGCTGTTGTCACTGTTGTCACTGTTGTCGCTATTGTCGCTGTTGTCACTGTTGTCACCGTTGTCGCTGTTCTCACTGTTCTGGCTGTTTTCACTGTTGTCGCTGATTTCAATGTCACTGTTTTCGCTATTGTCATTTTTGTCGCTATTGTCACTATTGTCGCTGTTGTTGCTGTTGTCACTGTTGTCGCTGTTGTCGCTCTTGTTGCTGTTTTCACTGTGGTCGCTGTTCTCACTGTTCTCGCTGTTTTCACTGTTGTTGCTGATTTCAATGTTGTCGCTGTTGTCGCTATTGTCGCTGTTGTCGCTGTTGTCCCTGTTGTTGCTGTTTTCACTTTTGTGACTGTTGTCACATTTGTCGCTGTTGTCTCTGTCGTCAGTGTTGTCACTTTTGTCACTGTTGTCGCTGTTGTCCCCTGTGTCTTCTTGTGTCTCCTGTGTCCCTTGTGTCCCCTGTGTCCCTTTTGTCTCCTGGGTCCCTTTTGTCCATTTTGTCCGCTGTATCCTCTTGTGTCGCCTGTGTCCCCTTTTGTCTTCTGTGTTCGCCGTGTCCTTTTTGTACCCTGTGTCCCTTGTGTCCCCTTGTGCCCCCTGTGTCCCCTTGTGTTCCCTGTGCCCCCTGTGTCCCTTGAGTGCCCTGTGTTCCCTTGTGTCCACTGTGTCCTCATGTGTCCCCTGTTTCCCCTTTTGTCGCTTGTGTCCTCTGTGTCCCCTGTATCCCCTTGTGTCCCCTGTCTTTTGTGTTCCCCGTGTTCCTTGTGTCATCTTGTGTTCCCTGTTTCCTCTGTGTTCCCTTGTGTTGCTTGTGTCCCGTTGTTTCCCATATGTTCCTTTTGTCTCCTTGTGTTTCCTATCTCCACCGTGTCCCCCCTGTCCCTTGTGTCCCTTGTGTTTCCTATGTCCACCGTGTCCCCTCTGTCCCTTGTGTCCCTTGTGTCTTCTTTTCCATTTAATAAACATGAAATATTCGGTGGCGTTGCACTTTTTTTCATATGGTGCAAAAACTTGGATGGGTTTCATTGCTTTCATATGACAACATGTGGGTTGTTTTTGGCACGCATAGGAGGTCAAAGGATGTGATTTTTTATAAAAATAAAAATTCTGCCTAACTTGTTTAGAAAATAATTTGTTTGATTTTTGATAATGAACCTACAGCTCACTGATTTATTAATTTGGCCAACTTGGGGGCCCGGACACCTCAGCTGAAATGTTTGGGAGCTTGAAGGGCTCCCTGAAAGTTTAATTTGGGTGACCATCTTTTAGGCCTTGGCATCCCAGCTAAAATGTGGGCTCCCTTAAAATTTTCCTTAGAGCATAGCCTTGCGCCCTGTAGTTATTGGAAGTCTGACACACTTAATACATGCTACTGTTGAATCCATACCCATACTCTTAACATATGTGGTTGTAATATTGTTGTAAGTTTTGTTTTGATTAGCAAAGGAACCCTTGTGTTTAACTCATCTTCTAGTGTATTTAACAGAACATCTCCGTCTATCCGTCTCTCCTGCTCACATTTGTTGTTGTTACACTGCTCAACTTTCCAATACCATTCAACGTAATTCTTACTTACACCAACACATCCCGCGTAAACGCCTTCAGGCGTCTTCTTTGTTAACTTATTGACGAAAGCTAGCACGCACTCTGAAGAGTATGTGTCAACAATAGGCAACTTTTTTTTCACCTCATAGTTTTCTAAGTTGGCTTTCTTAATATTAAGCTCTAGAGCAATGTAGAAAGGCCGTTCAAAAGAACATGTAAAATGTATTATAACAGTACACACTGAGATGGACAAGCTACTTATTATTGAGCAAGATACCTTTTTTACAGAAAGTTTCCGCAAATAAAATTACTTTTTGAACGTCATAGCGTTGCTTGGTACACACAAATGACAGCAGACTCACTGGCTTCACTACCTGTAAATGTAAATATTTTTGCCTGTTTATCATGTTATACCAAATTATGTATATGGCGCAGAATGTACTATTGGGCAATTCTAGAAAATATCCATACCGTACATACCACGGGCCTCTTCCACATTTCAATCCCTCCCCATTCCCTCCATGCCCTCAGAATTCAATAACCGTTAACCACCCCCCCCCCCCCCCCCCCCCCCCCCCCCTATTATTTATATGGCGCAGAATGTACTATTGGGCAATTCTAGAAAATATCCATACCATACACACCCCGCGCCTCTTCCACATTTCAACCCCTCCCCATTCCCTCCATGCCCTCACAATTCAATAACCGTTAACCACCCCTCCCCCCCCCCCTCCACCCCTCCCATTTACATTTTCCATTTTGTACTTAAACTCTTTGGAATTACCGGCGGGGTCCACAAATATGCCCAATTTGGCTTATTTTGTGCCAAAATACTTGTGCACTCCAGCACAGCTGGTTACAGAGGGATGAGTCATTGTGACTCCAGAAATTCTGGAATGAAAATTTAAAAAAGTAGAACTTTTTTCCTCAACGCTATTTAACAGATGCAACCTACATTAACTTTCAGGGTTCGCAGTCTTCAAACGTCCTTGAATTTCCAGTCATGTAGAGTGTGCCAAACTGACCCGACCAAAATTGGATGATCCTCTGTAGACTTATCTTTGACCTTTTGTCATTTAGTGAGTTAAAACAGGGGGCTGATCCAATTCATGAATCCAATCCACGTCTCGTTAATGCAGTTGTCATCTTTAAAAGGTCTTTACTTTTTTACAGTTATCTGTAAATGCACCCCCTGGAGTTTGGGTCTGCAGCACAGACATGATGCTTACTGTTTCAGCTGACACAAGTATGTGGTATTTTTATCTGTACATGTATATGTCGCTGTTCAATTTTATCCTTGGCTGAAATTTTATTTTTGTTTGATTTTGGGTATGGTATCACATCATATGATAATGATTTTGAAACAAAAGAAAATGTAAACCAAGGATAAAATTAAACCACAACATATACATGTAAGATTAAATTTTTAAATTATTGAATTTGAATTGCTGCTTTTTATATAAAGGGAATACAAGGCTTGGTTCTCCAGTACTTAAGTGATCTAGCTAAGATTCTTACTCTCCATTGCGTAGCTTGCAGCCCTCATTTAATCTTAGAGCATACGGATATAGATTCTTTTTAGGTTTGTGCTCCAAGACTTTGGAATTTGGTCCCTTTTTACATTAAATCAAGCCCTGCTTTTGACATTAATTTTTTAAGAAATGACTTTATTAAAGACATATCCTTGTTAAGAAAG